GTATAATGTGTAACGTGTAACGTGTAACGTGTAACGTGTAACGTGTAACGTGTAACGTGTAACGTGTAACGTGTAATGTCTAATGTATAATGTATAATTAACAGATAGATTATGAGTTCGAAATTTTCTATGAGGTGATAGTTAACCAGGCCAAAGGCCGAATTTTAAGAGTATCACCTCAGAGAAATTGAGATCGAGTAATTAGCAATCATGGATAAAAGTCGTTGGGACACTGTTTTATCGCAAGGAATTATCTATGTTTTACAAATGAAGTTTGAATAAGCACTGCTAGCCCCTAAAGAACGTTTTTCTGTAACCCCCTCCCTGCCCAATAGAATGTTGAAACTCAGAAGAAATTGCAGGTTCTAGTTTTCAACATTGTATGTGGGGTGGGGGAGAGGCCAGGCAGGTAAGGTTGTATTCGCGTCAGGCGTGTGTTCAATGCGCCAGAAGTGCAAAATTTTAGTCCGTGATTGTACTTGTCAAGTAGAACTTGATGCAGTCAGAGCAGCTTAAAGAAAATGGCAATCTTTTATTCACACTCAACTTTCTCTACTTCACAACCCTGCTAAGTCTCTTCTCCCCTTCTTCACTTTGATTTGGACAGTAAATTTCTCCGTTGCCTGGCTAGGATTTTTAAATCTCATCATTTCTAGGAATCACTTTACGAAAGAGATTTGCTTTACACAACAGAATTCGCAAATGCATCGCAATTAACTTGCTTGTTGTAGATGCTGTTAGCGGTGACGATGAAGATAAAACAAAACGTATTGACGGAAAGGCTTGTCCAGGAAACGGATCAGGTATTCAGTTGACCATTGGTCAAAACTATCGCTTGCAATGTAATGTTTCGAGAGGTGTTGCAATGAGTGTTTGGAATTTTACAATCTACAATATAACCCACCTGTTAATTTTGGTGCAATTTTATTGGCTACTTCACATCACGTGGTGAAAACTCACAGGACAGTTATCATGCAATAACTCCCGCATTCGTCGATATTTGTCCTCCGATTGCTTCCGTCGAAGAGAAACACAGTCAGCACAAGAGTTTCAAATTTTCCTTTCTCTTATTTTACATGGAAGGAGACAAAACTCGCTTTGTTGAGTCTGATGTATATATTTATTATTCTTTTAACCTGTATCTCAGGTGATGGTCCCATCCAGCTCTGGCAGTTCCTTCTTGAGCTTCTTATCAACGTTGAATGCACGAATTTGATCAAGTGGACCCAGGAAGAGGATTATGAGTTCAAAATCCTTCAGCCTGCGACAGTGGCAAAGATGTGGGGTAAGAAAAAGAACAAGCCTACCATGAACTATGACAAACTAAGCCGTGGCCTTCGCTACTATTATGGCAAGAATGTCATTGAGAAGGTCCACGGCAAAAGATATGTCTACCAGTTCATGTGCAATATCCCCAAGATCCTTGGCTACGATCCCATGGTTAACAAGTGCGAAGATTTCGTGGAGGACTCGGTCTGTGGAGGACCAGCGATGTCGCCTGAAGTTGAAGATCTGCTTGTTTCCTCTTCAGTTGAAGACGGTAAACTTGCGGGATCTCTCGACTTTAGTCGTCTGTTCTAGTTTTCCCTTGTTTTTGTTGATAACCCAAACGTGTCTTACTTCGGTAATAGTTTTTGTAGCTTGTATCAAGCGCTAAATAGGCAGTTAGCCTCATATTAGTGCAGAGTGCACTATTGGGATGGTTTCAGGGTTGACGTCGGTAAAGCACTATGGCACTATGGCACTATGGCACTATGGCACTATGGCACTATGGCACTATGGCACTATGGCACTATGGCACTATGGCACTATGGCACTATGGCACTATGGCACTATGGCACTATGGTACTATGGCCATAAGGTGTAAACTTTAATGTTTGTTTAATTAATTAATTTCAATTAATTTATTAGCATCGTTGTTAAGGGGACCGTGGGGTTGGTACCTCTGTTTTCTACGTAAAACATATCATTCTTACGTTACTTCCCGGATAACATCACAAACCTATATATGTTTTCACAAATCTCTTGCTATCCTAGTGGTGTTATTCTCTTAAGAACAAAATCAATTTGCTCGAAACATATGCGCAGATAACTTAGCCCTCAGTGTCCAATTCTGGCCCTCTCTCTGTCACGCAACGCTGCCGTTGCGTTGCTTGACACAGAGAGGACCAGAACTTGACTATTTTGACCGGGGATAGCAGCTGTATTTCAGGTAATGTCAGTTCTCCCTTTTGTAGTGCAAATAACGTTACTGTAACTGCGTATCATCTGGAATCACACCTTAGCTCGATTCAAGAAATTTCGTCTGCTGTTTTATAACTATTGCGTGTTTGCCACGGTTCAAATAAAGAATGCTTCTCCTTAGCGGCTTGTCTATTTCCACTTCTATGAAGGGAGCAAAAAGTTCATATTCAGCCAAACTTTCCCACGTTAGTAACATATAAAACTAATAAATTTGTGACACAAGAAATTTCGGAAATATTGCCGCAGACTCCGTGGCACTTAATGAAACCGCCAATTAATTTCATCAGTCTTTGAGGTGACTCTTTCACCGATGTACGATATAATTTCGCCCAAGTAACGATCTCTACCTTCAGTACTTCTCGTTGAAACGCTCCTCAGTTGTATTAATCGATAGGATTGTATTTTAGTTTGACGTGAATAAGAACCAACTATTCCGTGACTGGATGTGACTATTTGATAATTAGATTAGTTGTTTTCTGTGAACTGAAAGTTTGCGTTTAGAGTAAAACAAAATCGTTCCTCTTCGATTTTTCATGAGATATTTAGCTTTATTACATTTATCTCCAGCAGTAAGTAAAAAAATACACATCTTTCTTATATTTTTGAGGAAACAAGGGTATCATGTTGCATAGCTCGGCGAGGAAAACAAAAGTATCAAGTTACATATGTTGAAGTGAAAAATAAAATTGTCATATCTGCCGCTTCTGTGTATTATTGAATTTAAAATGACTGAAACTCAGCGTAAAACATCACAATGAAATTCAAAGTCGTCTTGACAAACGGTAATTGTAAGTTATTTTTGGACTTTCAAAGAAATTACAAACATGAAACTTACACAATGCTAAGATTACGTCTTAACGTGTTTTCGTCCGCTCATCTTAGTTGACTATAAAGGGAGAGAACGGCATGGATAAGGACCTATGTGACCACTGTATCGGAGCCGTAAATTGCATTCTGCACTATCGGAGATTGTCTCACTAGTTATGAATCGTATCGATTTGCCCCCCAACCAAAATTCTGAACAGCAAATTGTATAACTGTGCTTAAAGTTGTATCTAGTGAAACAGATATATATAGGGTCATATAATTTGCTTGTCACAATTTTCATATTATGCATACTGTGTATGCTCAGATTCTCCATGTCAAGAAAGAAGAAATAAATAACAAAAAAAAAGGTTTAGTAGGTTCCCGTAAGATGTCCTAGTTCATAATGGTACAAGAAAGCTTTTAGTTGTTTATAAAACCACAGTTGTGAGGTTGTTTTCAGAATTTTACAGTTATTAATGTAGATGTTTCCAATGTTGGAAACAAAGTGGCCAAAAAAAGGCCAAAAAAGTTTGCAGTTAATTATAGTTAACAAGTTTCTCAGGTTGGAAGTGATAGGTGTTGCTTCTGCTAATGAGGAATCTTTCATAAAAGGAATCAATGAATTTGTAAAAGGAAGTATTTTCCAGTTTATTCCATAAGTGTTGATATTTTAAAAGTAAGTTGTGTGCATTTGCTCTAAAAGATACAAAAAAATAGTAAAAACAGTAGTTGTAAGTTCTCATATGTATACATGTTATGTTATGCATGCAAAAGAGATTTTTAATTCAAGTTGTATTTTTACCTGTTTTCCCCTCTCTTATTGCTACTGGGTAGCTTGTATATGTCAGTAAAAATACAGTTGTAAAATTAAGGTCAAGTAAAATAAAAACATATATAAAGTAAATAATTTGTGTTGACTATTCAATCTGATTAGAAGCTTCTTAAATCTTGCCTGGGGTTGCCATGCTCTTAGAGTTTTTAGAGAGTTTGAAAAAAAAAAAAGGATATTAAATAGCCCTTGCCGGGTGGGGGTATCCCCCATAAGGGACTGGACAGGTCGCTTCGCCCACGAGTTAAAGTACAGAAAAAAGCAAGGGGAAGGGCTTTTCCAAATCTCTCTTACAAGTATGAGGGGTTGCAGAGGCCTATTTGGGGGTTTGAAATTACAGATTTCAGAATTTTTTAAAGAATAAAGTTTTTTGTTGAGTGAAACGATTTCTGCGGGACTTACTTTCAGGGCCGGTTAAAGCGTATTGGAATGGATATGTGGGAAAGCTTTTCTGTCACAAATGGAAGGAGTTATGGTTCTCAGGGCGGGGAGAGCATCCCATAAGCACCCCCCTCTCCCCGCCACAGGAAGCC